GCTGGGCTCAAAACCTCAAGTTTCTGTCGGCAGATTCAGCAGGAGAGATTCAAGCCTGGTCTTTTCTGGTGAAAGCGATCTGGGCAAAATTTGGGGTACGGTACGCCGAGTAGAAAAAAGATCTCGCGACTTACACTAACCGTTATGCCAATACTGTTCGCAGCTATGGGCGAAAAACAGAACAAGTAAGTTTTAATGGGAAGCTGTATATCGTGGCGGTGGTAAGGTAACCACCACGAGTACGACGTATATACGCCACCACCCTTTTAGTAGTAGACCTTCAACTTACTTTTACTAAACGAAATCCTGCTGCAGAAGGTGCATGATGGCATGGCATGGACTTTGGTGGTGTGGCCTTCAACTGTTCGTAGAGTCAGAGTTTCTACAAAGTCTGCCTGCTTTTCCACCACCTCAACTTAAAGTTTGTAATGCTTTTACTTTCACTACCGATCCGCAAAACAGTTGGCCCAAGCTGGTCTTACATTTTAATGTTGCTCCCTTTCCCTTTTACAGCCGGGGTATATCCTTCCACGCATAATAACAGGCATCTGTAGTGCCACGATGTAATCGGACCTAATATTATATTATGTAGCTTCATAATACAAAAACTCATTGTAATTGCTCTGAAAGCAAGACGTCTTTGCGTGATTAGCAATTTGGATTTCTCTCCCGGAGAAAGCACGAATTATGTTTATACGTCCAATAGTAGTAAACCAGGAGGAGAAGGTATGTGAAAAGCAGACTTTTTTAATGGCGGGTGTACAGCTTTCTTCTTCTCCTGGTTTTACTACCACGACCACGACGGCATTTCTGCACATTGGGCTAACCTTTGAACCTGAACATGACCCGTCAAGTGCTTTACTGTGTACTTTGAAGCGTTAGAAATTGAAACAATGTCCTGTTGGTAGGACGAGATACTATTATTACGATGGAGTGTAGGCAATACTATAAAACGCATGCTGCTGCTCCTGGCTGCAGTTTCAAGTCTCGAGTCTCGTACAATATTCACTTGAATCGTTCGCTCAAAGTCAAAGCTGCAGTCGACTCGGCTCTGATTACTGATTGTGCTCTCAGCTTGACTTTCTACTTCAAATTGACTCCGGGCTACACACATATTTCACTCTGTACTCATCCACCTAAAGGACAAAATGTTTGCATAAGAGAGCAGAGAGTGGAATGAATCTATTCATTTCGTGTCGTTGTTAGCTGTGCCACTACACCACCGGCGAGACGAGAGGTGGATGAGATCATGTTATGCATTAAAGGAATGAGCTGATCTTGAATTCATACGGTGTCTGCTTGTTTACAAGAATTTGAGAGTTGTATGTAGCTATTTTAGACGACTACTTTGTTGATGTGCAATATTACGTGTGAGAAACGGGGTATAAAAACACCTGAAAAATGTGTATGTACTTTCATGGCATGTCGTTTTTTGTGTAGCGTGATACCAATGTGTAAACCACCCAAATAACAAAATGGGCGATTTAATTTGAGAAAAATGATACTATTTCGCATAATAGTAGTCTATTGCAAGTTAAATTGGTCAGGTAAAGTACAGACATTTGGGTGCGATAGGCTGCCAAATAAGTGGAATTTAACATTTAACAGTGCTGTGCATGCAACATGGCACAATGCACATATGAAATGCTATAGGTTGTCTACTTCCGTAATATAAATCACTCTACGGATGAATTTTGCAAGCTATTTTCGCATACTATAGCAAATATTAAGCTTTGCAATATGTACAAGAAAATAATACTGGAAAGCATAAACACAACGAGAACCCAAACCGCTAACAGGATTAGAATGTAATAGTTAGTCTTCAGATAGATAATAAAGGAAGGAAAGACCGATTGCACCATCACCCATATTCTACACCAGACATACATATGTACCCTGTTATTATAGCGTTGTTGTTGCAAAATCATCCCTGGAGAGAATACGTAGTACTACAAATACCCATAGTTCGAAGCACCGGAGGATTTTAGGATTGCAGATTTGGGCCATTACTTCTCCTCTACTTTCCTATATTTAATGGGCGAGGAGAGAAGAGTGTAAATCTACGCTGTGAAATTTATAGTTTATTGGCTCAGTTGTTGGGTTCAGAGGAATACATCCCACTTTGTTTGTGTATTGAAATGTAATGTTCACGTAAATTATTGTGCTTACATTTCTCTCGAAAACATGCTCCACTAACTGAGTAAGTATTCAAAGTATAATAAATCTCGACCTGAAAGTGGAGATACTTCACTACATGATCCACCAACCAGGTATACATAATTCTCTCGTTACCCACTTTGCTGCTGGGATTAGTTAGTTTCGGAAAAGGGTGCATGTTTGCTTACTTACCTTATTGGTTGATTCGAGTTGTTCGTCCTCATTCTTATGGACGTCATGATTCCCCATTATCAAATCCCGAAACGAATGAAGGACTACTAATACAAGATCCAAGGAGATCCTTCTTCCTTTACATCAACATCAGCAGACTAGTCACGGCCACGCTCTGGTGATTTCCAGGAGAGAGAAATCCAGGTATTTCGTCCTTCCTCCTCTCGGTTCTCATTACTTCCAATTCGGGGAGGAGAAAGTTTCTCGGAATCAATACTGTTCATAATTTCATAACAGATTAATGATATATGTTTGAAACATGTTAACAGTGTATATTTGTACACAAGGACATTGTATGAATGTCAAATTCGTCCTCTTACCATTTCTAAATTCTATTTGTCACATCTCATTTCAGGATTTCAGGTAGGAGAGAAAGTTGTGTTGTGACAGTCATCCAGCCAACAACAAGGAAGCTTTCTCTCTCATATTATTTGGATTATGACACGAAAATTAGGTTTCAGTTTCAGGCTACGATATATCCAAGCCAGCCACTCCTCGTCATGTAGTAGCATCACTGAACACCTAGTTTGCAACAGCAGTGCTCTGGATGGAATGGAGTGTGTACCTTTCGTTCCTTGGAGGTAATAGGAAGAAGACTCCCTCATGAATTTATAAACCAACTTTGTATGTATGTACCTTCTACTTCCTGGTATGGTGTCCCCACTATCAAGTCAATGCCGACACACCATAACGAAACTCTCCGTGTGCCTTGCAAATAATGGGGTTGGATGCACAGTACGGAGGAGGATGGATAAGGTTGAGAAGAGAGAGAAACAGAGAGAGAGAGAAGACCTAATCAAAACAGCTATCGATCCGCTTGACATTCTACTTAACCTAAAAAATTGCATATTAGGGAAAGCTTATAATAATATAACGTGTCCCTCATATTCATATTCATGCCGGGCTACCCAAACTATCGCGCATTATTACTCGCGAAATGCTAATTCTAATACTGGGTGTGGTATATGGAGTATCACGAGAAGGAGAAAATTTTATCATCATCACCTCGAACATGTAATATAGCTCCTTCTTTCATCTTCCTCTACTACCAGCTTCCCCACTTTTTAAGGCACTTTCCTCCAGGCAGATTTGATGTGATTCGAGCGATACGAGAACTTACTTCCTCTAAACCCCCGGCCAGGGAAGAAGAACTAACCCCATCACCACTCGGAAAGATAACACTATACTTTCTCTCTCCACTCATAACTGGTGGGAGAAAGTTGACTGAGCTTTTTATGTAGTCATGCACTCATCCTTTCTACTACCCGGGTGAAGAAGTTGGAGGCCGGTGTATGCGTGTGGTTGTATTGGACGAGGAGGAGGCTGAGAATGCAAAGCTGATTTAAAATTAAGAATTCGGATTTTGGTGTCCTCTCCTCCGCCACGGTTAAACGAAAGCTATGGATGTAAAGTTTTTTTTTGCTTGCTTCTTGGTCGAGTAGTATCCAAGATAGGACGGAGTAGTGGTGGTGGAGATGTTGGTGGAAATTATTTCAAAGAATGAATGAAACTATATGAGAATTTTTGGATATGTGACGCGAATTTTTGCCAAACGTGTCGTGCCACCCGTGCCGTCGAGGACGCCGCCTGGTCTCACTCTCACATAATTTTACTTCTACTTTCACTCCCTTTCAGTTCGGAGCATAATATATGACGTGACTTGACTTGGTTGGTGGTGTTGTGCTGGCTGGGTGTACATACAGAGCACATGGATGAGACGACTGGTTTCTGGTGGGTTTAGGATGTAGGATGAAATTGCAAAATTCCATTTCGCATGGCAGGGTTTTATTTAATTATTAAAAAATTATATTGAATGTTCAGACATGTTTATCGTAAAATCTTATTATCATGACCCAACGAGTCCTTATTTGCGGGAGCAATCTTGGATTTATGTTATACACAATATTTTTTAATTTGCGCATGTCTATCAATCAATATCATAACCCTTTTGGACGAGTTACTGAATAGTTTATAGGTCATAGAAAACTCATTTTCGTTCTTTTTTTGTAAATATGAGTAGCTGTCATACACTTTATTCTTCGCAATTTCTTGTTTTCATACTCATTTCCCAACTTTTTGTTTTCCTTTCTTCCCAAAATCAATGGAATTCACTCACAATTCATTTACGTTTCTGAGCCTCTTTCTTCTAATGAAACTAAGTAGGTTGGGTGGGATTGGGTTGATTCTTTTTTCCTCGATAAAAGGATGCTAATGATTCCAAAGTCGGCATTTCACTCTACCCTTGTTTGCTAAAAGACTAGGCTAATGCCTCGTCGATTTATCAATTTATCCATCCATTTACGTCTAACTGGCAGTATTCTCGGTTTTATGGAGGAGGATAGAAATCGATGGGTCTGTAGTATGTACTCGTACTTATCCAAGGTTGGATTTCTACCATCACTTCCTTCCTTTAGCTACCCATCACTCAAGTTTAATAAGTTCCTTTCCTTCGTCGTAAAATGAAATCGATTTTAATTTGAACGAAATCAATCTAAATTGCGTTACATGTGCGAAGATGGTGGAATGAGATAAAGTTGCAAAATTCTTTTTCGCAGATGTGCTTTAAGATCTATGATAATTGGCAAAAAATGGTATTAAAGGTTGCGATAAAGTCTAGCTTTACGAGTTCATTTTATTAAAATTTTCATTTACCCATCTTGTCATTTTACATATAACATCAATTTTTGGTAGAGACATATGTACCCTATAGTTAGTAGATATAGAGCGTAACGGTGTTGTTATACATGTAAATGACCAATAATATGGCAGTTAATTTTACATGGTATGGTATACAGTGGCAAATATTAGATTTTTTTCAGTAAAGTTAATCAGATCCATTAAATTTATACATTGATTTCTTTCCGTTATATATAAACACACACAAAAAATGATGATTTTCATGGTGGGTATAAGATTACTCTGAATAAGATACAAGGACTTGGTTCCGACTGGTATAATAAATTATAAACTCTGTCTTACACTAAGGACACGATGCGTTTTTTTCCTCTTATCATTCGTGTACATCTTAGATAATCCTAGTACGAAGAACTAGAATGAAACTATCTTTTCCATTTTAAAAGTTATCTCAGCATTTAATTTACTAAGTGTCGTATGCATAAGAGTAAATGGGAGGAAGGATATCGGCTATAAATAAAAGTGGGCGAACCACTACCATCAAGTAATTTATTAACTTGATGCACATTAAATTAATCTATCAGTCTATTTATCCAGGCGGATGCATTTCAGAAGAGAATTTGTAGTAAAAAGTAGTTCATTCTTTGTAACGATGTATGAATGCAGCACAGGCTTTTTATCCCAATCAATAAAAGATTATCGATTATTTAGTTCAAAATCCTTTTGAAGAAGCCGATTGAATAATATATTATAGGAAAGTGTAAAAATTTGATAGCTCGTTGAATTTAGCACATGAGTTGAGTCGAAAACAGGATGCAATCGGAACAGACAATACATTTTATGTATGTAAAAAAGAGACCAAAACTGTGTAAAACACTTACTACCATAACGGAATCCAACTGGTGTCAATCATCCATTACACGTATGATGGAGGGTCATTCATTATATGAGAGAATTTGTAACAAATATACGTAATTAAAAATTATCACATCACACTAAATACGTCTGCACTGGATTTCCGTCTTTTGTTTGTTTAAAGTTTTTAGCACTGCCAAAGGTCAGCGTTCCCTTGGGCGTGGAGGATTTGTTATTTGAGGAGGGGTGCCATTGCGCCTGGTGTTGTTGTTGTTGCTGCGGAGGGGCCACGGTCATTTGGGGCTGGTACGTGTAGCCATTGGGGAGATGGATGTTATTCAGGAGACGATTGTTGTGGTGCGTTTGATGGCCCTGGGGACTAGGAGGGTCAAGAGAGGATACGTGCTCGTATACGTGCTCACCCTCTAAACTCAGGTAACTTTCACCACCACCATGGTTTGATGAGTTTGAACCACCACCACCACCACTGTTACTACTAATAAGCACACTGTTATTGACATTGGGAGAATTGTATAACTTTGGCACTGGCACCGGAGACTTGTGCTGTTGCTGCTGCAACTGCTGCATTTGTTGGAACATGAGGGAAAAGCTGGTTGGCGTGTGGAGACTGAGGGTCGTCTCATCCCCCCCGTTCGTCGTCGTGGTTGAATCCGTCGATTGACTTGATGGGGGAGACTTGGGAGGGTTTGATAACGGGAGGGCAGGAGGTGGGTGGTAATGATGATGTTGATGATGCTGGTGATGAAGGGGGCTCGACTGGGAATGGATGCTTTGGTTGTTGTAATTGTTTAAGCTAAGGTGCGACTGGATCGTGCCAGTCTGACTGTGATTCCCAGGACTGTTAGGAATCTGGTATTTGGGGGGAAGCGCTACAAAATTGGGGCCATAGCCGTACGGCCACAACTTATTATTGATGTTCATCGTCATCGTACGGTTATACTCGTCCACGATGATGTGATGTTGCTCATTCTCGTTGTTCGAGTACTTGAGGGTGGCCATGATTCCGCCGGTGGAGGAAGACTCGTTGGACGACGCGGACGTGGCTGTTGTCGTGTTGCTCGTGATGTTAGAGTGGTAATGGGACGAGGGGGCAGGTAACAAGTATTTCAGCTTGGTCCAAAACTTTCTCTGCTTCCTCTGATCGGGCGAGTTGAGACTCCATTTAATGACTTGGATCCTATTGTGTCTCACCCACGAGCGAATGTCGGGAGCTACGTCGACCGGAGTTATGTCATCTATGAACACAATGACAACTTTTTTCATGTCGACAGAGTTTTGCTTCTGTGACCTTTTAAGCACTGCATGAAACGCGCCGCGATACTCGCCACTCGCCCACTCGCCTTGGAGAAAGTTGCGAGACAAAATAATAACCACACTTTTGGAATTCTCCACTGCACCCACCATCATTTCTTTCAGGTCTCCAGTTTCACTGATCAAGTCTCTGTAGTGCAGGCAGAGGCGGTACGAGTCTTTCGACTCGAGTTCTTCGGCAACGTGCTGGGTGACAAATTCTTCGTCCTTCTGACTGTATACGAGGTACGCATCGTTCGCGTCGTGGCCAAACTTGTCGTCGTCAAAGTCAGACGTGCAAATTCGGATGCCAAAACGAGAAAAGATGAAAAGTCTCACATTATCGCGGCAGAGAATGATTGCAATGATAATGATGACGAGGAGGATGACAAGTGAGACGCAGCCGAAGATGAGGGGAAGTGGGGAGAACTCTAAGCCACCATCGATCAGGGCCCAAGATGAGCCGCAAGTTCGGTTATAGTCGATAAGGTGAGGGCCTGATAAAAACGAAGGAAGAATGAAATGAAAAAAATGAAGTATAATTTGAAGATTTTCATTATAAAAAAATAATTAATTATCAAATCAATAGTATAATCAAATGCGGTCTGCTAACATTCTACTCTAACTAAACCAGGAATAAATGAAAAGTGAGCACTCACCCGGTTTGTGCGTGGTGTTCCACACGCATTGAAGTTCCCTCAAGTCAATTACCTTCCTCGAGTTGTCAGTCACCCAGCCGTAGAGCTGAAAACGATAATTTTGCATTTTCGAATAATGAGTTCAAGTGGATAGATGTATATGTATCTACTGGAATTATATGCTTTACCACTATTCTACGAAATTAAACCCTGAATTTACATGACAATACGCACCTGATGTAAAAATTGGCAATCACAGTTCCATTCGTTGCGTGCCAAACCAATTTCAACCAAGTATGGATTCAGACTGAGTTGCCAAACTTGAAAGGTTACGAGGCGATTCCCATCTAGTCGTAGGATCTCGATGGATTTGAGGGAGAGAAACGTCGTGTTTGCGATGCTTCCAATCAAATTATCCTGAAAGACATTTATAAGACTTTAGCCATGAGTGTGCGGAATTAAATATGAGTCTGCTTCCGTTATGACTGTGCTTTTGCTATGAGAAATTCTGTAATACTAAATACGTAGTAGGGAAAATGAGACGTATTTACCTGTAAGTATAGCTCTCGAAGTCTCGTCAAATGGTCAAACTCGAATCCGTGGAGCGTTTTAAGCAAATTCTTCTCCAAATGCAACGTCTGGAGTGACTGAAGTCCATTAAATGACTTGTTGTGGATAACCTACACATTAATATTTATATATTCCGATTGCAAATAGGTGTTCCCAGCCAGCAAATTAAATGTCGCCAAAACCAGATCGAATATTATTACCTGCACCAATGACGAGTTCAAGTAGAGCACACGCAAATTCTTTCGTCCGATGAAAGTATGGCTTTTCAGAGAAGTAATTGCATTTCCATCCAGCGCAACTGAAGTCGAGTCCATGGGCAATCGTGACGGGATCGCAGTGGCTCCAGTATTCGCACAGTTAACCACATTTGCACTCCATGTGTCATCTTATAGTTTTAATAACAAATTGATCACATAAATAATTTGTACTTTGTACTATACTACCTTACAATACTTCTTCTAAGATTTCTAAAAATTAACTTGCAAACAGAATTGAGACGTAAAGATGAGAATGATGATGCGCTAAGTTTAAATATCCTCACCATTGTCAACATGTGCTAAACACAGAAAAATCTTTCTATTTTCTCAATTGGGTTTTGAAAATGTCAAAAAAAATCAACACTATTTTGTCTCACAACAAGAGGTTATCTAACGAGGTAAGATTACTTAATATGCACAACAATGTTTCACTATCAATCGTTACGAGCGAAAAGTAAAGAAAATGTCATTTATTAGAATGACGAATCGTCAGAGATGGAAGATGCCAAAAAATTACGGTCGGCTAACGACGATGCGACTAAACCGGAAAGACCCCCTTTAATGCCTGTGACACATATACATGGACGGTTGTCGCGCCGGTACTACAAGAGAGCCGATGGTCGGGACTGGGATGTAAGTAGCAGCTAAACTTTATTTACTTGTATAGTTTGAATGTTTGCATGCATGAGTCTTGTTACTAATTTATTTTATTCCTTGTTTTCCAGGATGTTCCTACTTTTTCTGGAAACACAAGTATAGGAGGGGCAGGTGGTGGCGCAGAAAATTATGTGACCACAGCAAGTAATGAAATGTCAATACCTGAGGATCCACAAAATCCAGCAGTAACATCTGATACACCGGCTGATGTTGATAATGATCATGAATGGGAGGTTAGGTTACATACGTATGAGACCGGATAAATTAATGTGTTCAATTTTAAGATGTTATTTTGTTAATTTGACAGGATTATGACGTCTCGTTGGACAACGAAACTGAAGAACCATCCGAACTTGATGTCGATGATATCGTTCATGATATGACTCTCAATGAATGGAAGGTGGTTGAAGCAACACAAATTATTAAGAGATTCGTGGAGAAAATTAGTAGTCGAGTAACAACAAAGCAGAAGAATGTGTCACATGGCGTCGTGAAAAAAGAATTAAATAAGGTACAAATGGGACTTAGTTACTTGTTATGTATAGAAAATGCTAAATATCGGTTGTTTTCCAACAGATTTTGGAGGTTTTCTCTGCAACGGAAATAGAGAACAAGATGCCGCTGGAAGACTACATTGAAAACATACCTACGCCTGCTAATACCGAGTTAGATGGTGCAGTGGTGAAACTGGAACGACGTTTCGAGCTCCGAAACAACAAATCCACTTCTGTCCAATGTCCAAAAACAGGATGCAATAAGAAATTCGACAAGTTGTATAATGCTAAGAGACATTACATCACCATTCACTTGAGGTTGAAGTTATGGAGGTGTATTAAGTGTTTGAAAACCTTCACTCGGTACAAAAACCTCGCTCATCACGTAAAGTCGGTTCATTTAGGTATTCAAGTTTATGAATTAAAAAAAAATTAGTACATCACGTTTTTATAAATGATGTAATATATCGGTTTTAGATATCGTCCGTACATGTGGTGTCTGTCAGACAACTGGATCAGAGTGGACTATACAAAAGCATGATATGTGGGGCCATTATTGTCCAACTGGGGAAAACGTTTTATTTTCCCCTACAGAGGGAAAGATTGAATATCGACTCTTCATAATCGATTATGTTACAGGTACGTGAATACATACATTTTTATTATTAGTAATGCATTGGTGAAAAATATCTGTAATTCTAGTTGGCTACGGGTATACATGGAATGTCTTCAAAGTGAACTGGGTAAATGAAATGAACGAGCCAGTCAAACTATCAGTTGGCATTTCGAGATTTCTGGACCTGGAGAAAGTAATGAATGAATTCTTGAGGACATTATTACATGCAATGGCCAATCCGGAAAAATATGCAAGATGGGTTTCATCATGTGGAAGCGCCCGTAAGCTAATCAGAGCCGGACTACGTTTGGATTGCTCTAGTGCAACATCACTCGGGATACCATCCGTCTCGAAGTCTGTGGCAACCCAAGCCAAAGGAGTAGCACGCCAACACTATGGTGCTAGCTTCATTATTGCAACACATGAATCAAAACTGTATCTCATTAACGAAATGCCAAATATCGAAGAGCAACTCGACTCCTTCCTTGAGGAACTTCCACCAGACAACAAAAAATTTGTTTTAGATAGTCGACGAAAGAATTAGAATTTAATTTCAAGTCATTATTCAATCAACTAATTAATTAAACTGTTGTTATCAATAAACATTAAATTTACTCACCATGATAACATGTGCAATTTGAAGGACAACTCATTTCACAGTCACTGCGTTCACGATAGGAAATGACAGAATTAATGATGAGTGAATGATAAAGGGGAGTCAGAAATCAATGAAATAATACATAAAAACTTACCATGCATCAAATTCGCAGCAATGGCAAAGAGCAAAACAGTGCGATTTGTACGGACAGAGAAAGTCTTGCGGCTTAATGTCCGGTAGGGGAATATGAGTCACCGTTCGACTGTATGACAAACGGCACACGATCGCGTCCAAGTCCAAGACGGTGGGATGTTGACGAAGAGCACTGAGCTGGTTAATTCGTGACAACCACTCCATTTCTGAGGGGGAAAAGAAGATGCCCATGTTTTTGCTTGATTCATCAATTTTTAGCAACTATCTATTTATTTATTGCACAAATAAAAATTCTTACCGCAATTGCAAAGAAATGGATTTCCGCCCAGCGTCACCTCCGGCAATGGTCTTCCCACTGGAATCGGAGGCAGTCGTAATCCGCTGAGGGGAATATTTTCCAATTGATTCCCAACCAATTCCACCCGCCTCAATTGCGAAGATTGTATGAACGTGTGGGGTGCAACGGTTCGCAAGTTGTTGTTATTGACTTTTAATATTTCGAGGGTGGATGGGATTCCAGTTTGATCCAAACTTTTCAATTTATTGTAGGAAATGTCCATTACGCGGAGACGACTTGTACTCCTCTCCGTCGTAAGGGTTGACGTATTCACGTTTGTTGGGGTGCTCAACGTCTCAATGGCGTTATAGCTGAGGTCAAGCCACTCAATGCTGGCCGGAAGGAGGTGATAGTCAACCCTGCGGAGTTGGTTTTCTGACACGTTCAACCACAATAATGATGGCAACTGGGGTGCCAGCGTGGGAGGAAGTTCTTGCAAGGAGTTAGTGTCAAGTCGCAAAACGCGGATTTCTGGACACGAAGTAAATGCGGAGGATGAGATTTGCTTGATCTTGTTTTGCGACAGATTCAAAACTCGGAGTGATTTCATGGATGAGCAAAATCCGGGTGGAAGGGATTCAATCTTGTTGTCCACCATTCTCAATCCGTATAATGCATTCATCCCAGTGAAGGAAGTATTGCTCACTTGGCTTATCAAATTTTCTCCAATATCCAATGTTTTCAGATAGCCTAACGATTTGATTGATGCGGGTAGATTTTCTAGCCGATTGTTGGCAATTTGCAAATCGTGGAGAGATGTACAGTTGGTGAAAGCGGATTCATGAATTTTCTGGATTTTGTTGTGATTAAGGTACAGAGACCGCAAAATGAAGAGATGTGACAACATTTTCCCGTCTACGTAAGAAATTCTATTGTTGGAGATGGAAAGCGTGTGCAAATTTTTCATTTGTGAGAAAGTTTCCGGTAAAATTTCTGATATCAAGTTGGAGCTTAAATCGAGGGATTGAACGCTGTATAATTCATTGAACGTGGTGGGACCGATGTTGGTAAGTTTGTTTGATGCAAGGGAAAGGATAACTAGTCTCACGAGGGATTTGAACACCTCTGACGTGATCCATTGACTTTCTAGGTTGTTCATACTGAGGTCTGGAATGCAAAATGTGTACGATAAGCACTTATGTTCATAATTATGCAAACGATGCTGATAAGAAGATGCATGGAAAAAGTTAAAAAGATGTATTACCGAGTATTAAGAGATGTTCGAGACCAGTGAACAATCCAGGTGAAAGTACGGTGAGGGAATTGTTCATTAAATTCAAGTTTTGGATCAGTTTGACCGGTTCGAAAATTGTAGGCGGAAGTGCAATCAGCCGATTACTGGACAAGTTTAAAAGTTTAAGTTGACCAAGTCCGGTGAATGCGCTGTCATCAAATTCGCCAATCATGTTGTTTTGAAGATGCAACTCGTGTAGTCTCGTCATTCGCTACAAGCAAATTCAAACGTGACGGATTTAGTATTACTCAAATAATTGAAAATTTGAGCTTTATTCGACATATATTTTTATGCCAAGAGTAGTATTGTTCTTATTATTCCGTATTATTCTTATTTTGCAAAAACCCTATTCCATGAAAAATCGCACGTATCTCACAAAAAAAATGATCTACACATATCTCACTTTTGATTCGGATGCAAGATTTTTGATGCTTTTAACAATTTTAATAATTACTCACCTCTAATCTTCGGCTTCCAATATTCCTCAGCGCATTATGAGACAAGTCCAAAACCTTTAAATTTCCTAAACACCCGTCCCCCGTCATAGCTGAGTCTCCACTCGGCGATGAAGTCGATATTCTTGACAGGAATCCTCCACTCCTCTCAACCATTCCCCCTGGCAATCCCAAGTCATCAATATCGGTCAAAAGATTGTACGAATAATTCGCCGTTTGGATGGAAGAAGACAACTTTGTAAAATCTTGACAGAGAAATTTTTCAGGAAATTTCCACACGCCGCTACTGATTATCGAAATATGGTGAAGTTGCGGCATTTGTTCCAGTGTTCCTGACACCTCGAGTGACCGGTGACCTGCCCACTCTGAATTTCCCGTATTGATCGTCAACCTTCTCAGATGCCTCAGCCCGGAGAGGAAATCGAAATTCAAATGCGTCAGTTTGCATCTGTCAATTTCCAACTCTCGTAACTCTGAAAGTCCACTAAACTGGCCAGGACTTAACTGGCTCTCAAAGAAGAGAATGTCATTACAAGCAATCTTTAACTTTGTAATTGTCGTCGAGTCCATCATTCCCCCACGATTTCCAGATGGGATGAAGGACGTCAAATTGTCAATGTCCAAGTTGACATGAATTTTCCGAATGTTGCACAAAACCTCGAAATGTTCTGCACCAGCACTACTACTACCACCACCACCACTGTGACCCGTGGCAGATGCACCATCAGAATTCGGATTTTGTCCTGAATGCATTAATCGAACACAAGCCTCTATCTCACTGTTTCCTTCCACCGAGGAGAAAATCCGACTGGAGAATAATAACGAGAAAATCAACACGGCGACGAGATTCGGATTCAAATGGAATGAAATCATCCGTTTCCATCTCGGCCCCCTTCTTCTTCCTCCATTATTGTCGTCACTGCTACTACTTCTTGCCCTTGATGACAATGGTGTACTAGGTGACGAAACCGTGTAGGAGGACGTGGTGGAAGGACATGGTGATAGTAATCGTATTCCACTCCGTTCCAGTTTCGACTCTTCCATTTTCAGTTCCATTGATATTTATTTAATAAATGCTCCAGTTGGTTGGATGAGAAGATGAAATGAAACTGAATTTCATGAATATTGAATTCGGTGACACTACTATTTCATCTGACATTGCACGTATTTCTACCAGTGGGACGTTGTTCATCCAAAGAATGGACACCGGAGTGACGGAGTTTCATCTCTTGTTTGAGGTGTACAATAATAATATAATATTCTATTTCACCAATGTTCATGGACACTCTTTGTATTTCTCACGCATGAAGTGCTCAGTGTCACTACGGAAGGAAGGCAATGCAGCAGAATGGAGGAATTTATGGGCTTCTTTCTTCCAAGTTATTCCATGTTTCACAAAAACTGCACATATCTCCACGTCAAATATTCATGGACGCGTTTCTCGTGCAATTTCACCCAGATTGCTTCCATTCGTTCCTGGTAAGTGTGGAATAGAGCATATTGTCACAAGAGTTCACTTTCACACATTACTACGATCACTTGGTAGGGCATTGTTGAGATTTTCGTGTTTTTGGGGTGGAGGTAACTCCCACTGTGTGAGTTGGGAAATTATTCACATTTTATTGAATATGTTTGCTTTTAACGTTCTTCTAACCACAAGTTTTTCGTAAATTGGAGAGGAATTTTCTGAAATAGGAAACAAAGTATGTGTTTAGTATATATTTCATCGGTTAGAAAATTTGAAAAAATGTTGACGGCAGTGAATTTGGTATTTGCAGCAATCGGATAATAGAATTAAGAGCTGGACGTATTTGTTTAAGATATTGGTGGATTTTAAATTTTCATGCTTGAAACTTTTCAAAAATCATGTTCCATGAAAATGTACAAAAAAATTTCTGAGAAATTATGGTTTTATATCAATCACGCTTTTATACCCAAACAATATTTGCAAACCGAAACAATAATCGTGCAAATTAGCTTAAACTGCAATTTTCCAAGTGTGCCAAACGAATTGTTTTGTTCAAACAAAATCCCAATTTACAATTGCACACTTTTCGCTGTTAAAGCCTAACTGTACTGCTTATTGACATAAAAATCTTCTCTAACCCACCCAACAACCACATAAATATATTCCTTCTTTAAACAAAATGAGAAACTTTGCATGCACAGCTCCAACTCGTGTCCAATTATTTGTTCCGCAACAACTTTACAGTTTAACCGGAAATTCAATTTTTACAATAATCCATTCACCGTTTAATGAATTTCAAAACTAAATTCACGCTTACAAACTATCCACACACACAATAAACTGGTATTACGAGTGTTACCTTTTTTAATGAAATATCGCACCAAAAATTGTCAGTCAAGACAGTCTTTCAACTCCAAAAAACAACGATTTTTTACTCGGTATCTATTGGACTTGGACTTTTAAAATTTTTCACAAGTCTTTTTTCCTACTTGGTTACAGACTTCACAACAAAATCCTTTGTTCTCTGAGCGAGACATCCGCTCTCGGCAAGTGCTAGAAGTGAACTGTTGTGAGAAGCGAAATGTTTTGTTAAAGTACAAACTGGTCTCTCTCTGCAAGTCTGCAGCCCCCAACGCAACGCTAAACTAACCAACGACCAAGTTATAAGAGGCAGCAGGGGTAAAACTTTGTCGTGTTATCCAACATTTGAACATCACATTTTACTTTGCTCGTCTAGAAAGGCTCTCCCCAACCAACCATCTCCCTCTTCCTCCACAACTGAACTAAGTCAAAGGTAACTTCTCGTCGGTTAAAGGGAGACGAAAGAAGACGATGCAAGCGAGGCAACACCACCAACCAAACCACTTCGGATCAACTTCCTCTTCTCCTCAGTGCAATACTTTTTACTTTGTTGGTATACTCGCTCGTCGTACATATATCAGCTTGATTCCTGGGGGTCTCAATTCAGTTAGGACTTGGAAGACTGCACGAAATCTACAATGGTAACTTGCCCCGATGTCCTTTCTCTCTCGCTTATTAGAGAAAGTACATGGGAATGGTTTTTGGGTAGAAAGAGGAAAAGTTTCTGTGGAGGAGGAAAGATCTCTGCTGAATCTATGCTCTGTGGTTTAATTAACAATACCAATTGATATTGTCGCTTAATTGTCGAGGGGTCTCGGTGGCGGTTAGAAAATCGGCGAAAATCGAGGATTCGCAATAATTACGTGTTTTAAACGGGGTGGGAACAAGCATTGTATTTTTAGCTGTGGATAAATCTGCTGTCTAAATATGTAATGGGCATACGATTTTTTCTTGTAAAGTATTCAGAATATGTGCAAAATGTCGGCTTCCCTTGAAATTCCATCCATCCACCCTTTAAAAATAGTACATTGTTCGACTTGAAAATCAATAATCAACGATCTGCAGATTTTCCAATCATTGATTTCATTTTTCAGCAGGAGAACAACAACAGCCTTCATTGTCAAAATTCCAGCGCAATGACGTTCATCAGTCAAGTAGCTTCACCACAAATGCCCCAAATTGGAAAAGGTCTATTTTCGCAATACTTGAATAGGAATTTGGTGGCCGTGACTGATGATGGTATTCGCAACAACTACGCAATCAACATCTACACAAGAACGGGAGGAACTTTCATCTCTCCTCTTTTAGCAAAACCTTCAAGTGTTTCTTGTTGTAAAGGACGGCTGCTCTTGAGAATGAGTTTTCAAACATTGCTGTATTGGCATGCAATGTTTTTTAATACAAAAGCTCGTGGTGATATTATACTATATTTCCGAATACATAAATCTTTGTCGTTGGAGGGGAATGTAGTTTTTTGAGCGCACACAAGAAAGACTGATGGATTGCTATGTCCAGTGTAAATTGATGTTGCGATTTCTATCCATTTCTCACACGTGGCGGTAAGATGCTATATTTCCCGACCTTTCGTATACATACGAATTGTACCTTCGCCTGTCTATTATTGCCAGAGGACTGGACACTCTGTAAAACAAAAACAAACAAGAATGGTCTATTTTTAGCCATCCATGTTGCAGTAAAAGTTGAACAGTGAGGTTCCCTTGTGATTTCAACCACCCACCCGATGCAGCCGCTCGCCGATCTTAACTCACGTGTCGGTCTGATAAGACAAGTATCATTTTTATTATTTTATCAGTTTTGATGTTTCTTCTCGAAAGGAGGCAGGCGGGTCAATATGGACGTACGTATATTTTTAGCTGCGTCTCTATCTCCTAGATTCAAATCAAGAGTTTTTTTTTCTGGGTGTAGTAACAATACAATTTTTGCAACTCAGCAAACTCTATGAATCACTTTTGATTGAATTTCCTGAGCAATTCAAACAAACGAACAAACGAGGACATTAGTATTAAGGCAGGAGCAGAACGGTATTGAGATTGAGTTGGTTTTATTTGTAGTCGTTGTTGTCCGCCTGTACGTAAAAGAAAGGGTTATATTTTATATAAATTGTTTCGGTCTTATCCGAGAACGTGAGTAGTCGGTGTTATTTTTTATGTTTTCTTCTACTCTCCAGAAGACAACGTACATAATAAAAACGCCAACTCAACCCCGGACACGGCAACAACGGTGCAACTCACTAAACAGCTAAAACGTGCCGAGTTTTGCTGGCTATTAGCGAATAAACTGTGGGAGCGAGAGAGGGGCTAAATAAAAAGGAACAAATAAGATCGCAAAGCAAATCGCAGTGGTCGTTTGTTCAGTCAGCAAGAAGGAAAGAAGTGAATCAAATATGTGGGCAATTGTGTCGAGCTGCCGGGTGGAGAAAGTGGTGGGCTTGGGTCGTAAAGGTGCTACTTTGGAAATTATGGTTTGCAATATTTGCTGTGCCATATTTCAAAAACTCGGATTGAATATTTCGTCTGAAATGTATAAGATGTAAGGACGTCGTATGAAGAAGGAAATTCGGAATAAAAAAATTAGTTTGGTTTATCCTCTCAATTAAAAAAAAGGTTCACCATCTTCTCTGATAAATTTAAATCATACAAAATTATTGCTTAAGTAGGTGATACTGAATGCACAAAAAAGAAAATAAGCCCCCGTCGTCGGGGAAAGTATTCATATTTCGCCATCCAGGGAATACTTCTTTATTCTATCTTGCATATAAAGCGGGACTTACTTGAAGTAATTTGATGAAAAATCAAATGCAAGATATTTATTTTTCGTGGTAACCATAACCCAAATTATCTCAAGTTCAGCCACAAGCCACGATTGCTTGACTTTTAGTGCCTAGTTACCCTTAACGGTTGCGACAAATGGTCGAGTTACAAATAAAATAATTATTTTTAAAATCATTGGTGTCTGAAGTCCATCGCACAGACACCAACTACTTTGACCTGTAATAACTTTTGAATGGGCAGACATAGAGACTTAATTCTGAAAGATGAAATCATCGTAATTTTTAGCTTGATTTTTTAAGCTGAAAATCTCGAGGGTACTATTTCGAATAGTAAACTTGAAATCTCCAACCTTTATGTACCCCGAGTCAGACTGCAGTTATTGGTCAAACCAAACATTTTCAATGAAATTTTATTGCACCAAATACATTTAAACTTGTGGGGTGCATATTTTTTTTAGTCTGTTCAGCCATTTTGTCTATCGTGTTCCGGAAGGACATATGGTTCGATAAGAACTTACTGAGGCTAAAAAGAAAGCAACTTTGCGGGGCCTTTTAAGATTGCATTATTCACTGATTCTAAGAGCAGGATTCGTAACGAACATGTGCATATAATTTATTTTTGGCATAAACCATTACAAAACACTAACTTAATAAACTCTGAAATTTTTTCCTATTTTAATTCATATTGTTACATTAGGAGCCATTACCAACTTTTCTATCAGATTTCTGCTCGATGTGACGAATCGGAAAAATTGGTATGGATCATCCCATAGGGTCTGCCCAGATGAAAATACTTTGAATTCATACTCTTCCATTAGTAGCCATTAACAATCCCCACAAAAATTTCAGCTCTATTGGATGAGTTTTAGATATCCGTAGGGTCCATCCAGATAAAAATTTTTACAATTGTACTTTGTAAAAATTTTTTCAGTAGAAACCATTATCAACCTCTGTACCGAATTTCACCTTTCTACGACGATTTTGCAATTTCTATACATAATACCCGACAAACTTATATGACCCCCACCGGTCAACCACTTGTTTCGCTTATCTTCGAACTTAACTCCTCATTTGACCCATACTACATGCGTGCAAAATTTCAACTCAATCGGATTAGTTTTACAACAGTTATCGCAAAACGGGCAGACGGACGTGACGAGTACATAAGCCCTGACTCGGGCTGCACACTGGAGATTTTAAGTTTACTATTCGAAATAGTACCCTCGAGATTTTTAGCTTAAAAAATCAAGCTAAAAATTACGATGTTTTAATCCTAAATAATTAAGTCTCTATGTCTGCCCATTCAAAAGTTATTAAGGGTCAAAGTAGTTGGAGACTCAAACGCCGTTTTTGAACCAACGATTTAAAAATGAATGTTTTATTTGTAACTCGACCATTTGTCGCAACCGTTAAGGGAGACGCGTTACCTAGATACTTAAGGTCAAGCAATCGTGGCCACTAGCATTACTATTTCTGATATTATCATTTTACAATTTGTCCAAGCTCCTTCGTACTAAAAACATGTCGTCGCAGACCCTGCTAGCCAAGTCCGGCGTCAGTAACTTTACTCAATTTTAGTATTAACAATCTCTCTACTT